AAACAAATTTAGAATCAGTCTTAGCGTCTTTCCCCAAATACAGGTTTGAATGGAGCATAGTTCAACATATGTTAGTTTTAATGATTTTAACCAGCTTTAATATTTTTGTGTTTCTTTCTAGACTCTTCTATGTGTATATTGACGTTTAAGATAATTTGAATTCTATCACATTCTTCAGTTAAGTATTTTGCTATTTTCATTAAATTCATTTTATGATAAATATTAATGCAAATTAAACAGACATCCAGAGTTCAACTGTCTCTACCTCTCTGGAGGTGGGTTGCATAGGTAATTGGAAACAGTAGCTTAGTAAGTCTTGAAATGCAGATGGACTTACACAGTGCAGCCTTCACTTAGGCAGTCTGAAGAAGCCATCAAGTCAGGTTCAATCCTAAATTTTGATTTTAATGTTAGGAATTGCCGCAGGTATGTGCTGACCAACAAAGGTCCAGATTGCTGGGACCAGATGTCACTGAACTTCGGAGCCTGCTTCAATTTCCAAATGCTCACTCACACCTGAGGTTTTCAAATTTGCACAAGTACCCTAAGGGTTCCATTTCCTTTTTACACTTTGTAAAGCTGTCCCAAACCCATGGAGCGCCCCTTTCAGAATGTTTAACGATGTCAAGAATTCTGTAATCCTCTTACTTGCAAACCTGATTTGCAAACCCTAAGAAGGGGGCGGGGGCAAGGCATGCTTCTACTAAGTTTATCAGAATACCTGGCCAGGCCCTGCCCTCTGACAGGATAAAATTCTGAGAGGCTGTCACCGAATTGATTCCTTTGACACATTCTCTATGTACTTGCTCTGTGCCTCACAGAAGACTAGGCAGCTCAGATCCTCAGAAAACATTCTCCTCTGAGATAAAGCCTGACTCTGGTAGCTCCCCAACCACAGGGAGCAGTGCAAAAATTACAGCTCAGTTGAACTCCCAATATGCGACCTCAGCTCAACATGAGGAAATCCCAACATAAGAAATACAGTGAGTTCTCCCGCAAGACTCTGACTGTCCACAGAGGTAGATCATGCCCAGAAACTCAGATGGGTACAGGTCAGTTTCTTCTAATGTTGTGGTGTCCATCCTCTGATTGCTTTCCACCTACACATCAATCCATGGTTTTTTTCCAAATAGTTGACTTGGCTGTGTTCATGACCAGGGCCCAGCATGTGATTGATTCCCTGACTGTTTCATTTTTCACTGGATGTTTGGCACATACCCCTGGATACAGTGTTTGTCTCTCCTCTTAGACATGAAGTGCTGGACAGAGGCCCTCCACTCTGATTAAATACTGATACTCTCTTTCAGCCCTTTCATGGAGCGCTCTGGGAATGAACCCTGATTTTTGAAGTGGCCACCATCTGTATTTCTATAGTCATCAAGGACCCCAATTTCCGTACCTTGAAAATGGAAATGACAAGTCTTGCCCCTTCCCAACAGAAAGCACGTTGATAATTAACTGGATAGGCCTCAAAAGCTCCAAAACAACCTCAGAGAAGCAAAGCCCTGTCCATGCAACCCAAGTGCTGGCCCACCCTCAGGCACCAATGGAGGCGCTCAACACCGTTTCCAAATAGGAAAACAACACACCACCTCCGGCTGGCTCTGTGACTGACTGGTGAGCAGCTGTGAGCCCAGCTGCCAGCGAGGCACGGGAGATGGACAGGACGTCCAAAGCAGGTCTCACCTTTTGATCAGAGTGCTGTGCCCCTGGGAATTGCTGCATTCAGGGCAGCAGCCTGGCAGACGTGTGGCAGCAGCGGCGGCTTTCTAGACCAGCGGTGGCTTTCAGACCACCTCGGTGGCCCTGGCTACGTTTTAAGTGTCCAGAAGCCATACATGCTAGTGACTACCATGTTGAGCAGTCCAGGGAGAGGACATGTCCATGAGCACAGAAGGCTCCACTGGACAGGGCTGCTGGAACTGACAGACCTTCCCTCTTGCCACTACTCTCACTGGCCTCAGGTTAGTCTTTCCAGTAGCATCGGGTGGGTCCGCCTCACACACATGAAGAACAGTTACAAGTAACAGTGTATGGAAACAAATGTCATGTTTTCATACTTTCCTTCCCTTAAACCCAGCATGAGAGGCTAACATGAACCACACTGCATGTTACAAATAGATTGATCAACCCGTAATCAATACCTGATTTTAAAAAGAATCATATCACGCCCTGGCCAGTGTGGTTCAGTTGGTTGGGCATCATTCTATGCTCTGAAAGGTTGCTGGTTTGATTCCTGGTCAGAGTACATGCCTGGTTGCAGGCTCAATTCCTGGTAGGGGGCATGCAGGAGGAAGCCCATCAATGTTTCACTCTCACATTGATGTTTCTGTCTCTCTCCTTCTCCTTTCCTCTCTCTCTAAAAATCAATTAAAAATCTTAAAATAGCCCTGGCCGGTTTGGCTCAGCGGTTGGAGCGTTGACCTGTGGTACAGAGAGACCCGGGTTCGGTTCCCGCTAAGGGCACGTACCTCGGTTGCAGTTTGTCCCCGGCCCTGGTTGGTCGTGCGGGTGGCAGCCACTCGATGTGTCCCTTCACATGGATGTTTCTCTCTCTCTCTCTCTCGCTCCCTCCCACTCTATCTGAACGAAAAATGTCCTCGGGTGAGGATAAAAAAAAAAAAAATCTTAAAATAAATAAATAAATAGAATCCTATCATGGGACAGTGTCTAAAATATCCTATTTTTCTGCATGTGTGAATTTCAGTTGATTCATGGTCTACAAAGCCAGTATTTGACCACTCCCAACCCCCTTATGTCTATTCCCATGTGAATTAATGGTTGATTTTGTTACAGGTCCAATTCTTCCTTGTTTATGGTACCATATCTATTGTACCATAAAGCATGCAACTTTGGCCGAGATTTGTTTTGCATGTTATATATGCAGAAAGGATAAACCTCATGAATAGACCCCAGCTAAATGGCTTCAAGTGCATTGTTTATCATGCCTTATTTTATTGCTAATTTCACGTCTAATAGAAACAGACCTCACACACCCATAAAAAGCCCACAAACCCAGCTATTGAAAAAGTAATATTTAAGCATAGCATCCATAAAATAAGTAATAGAATTATAGAGTTGACAGGTTACATAAAACTGTCAGAGATATGGATGTCAAACCTTCTCTTTTCAAAAATGAGAAAACTGAAGTTGAGAGAGGGGCAGGACCACAAAGTTGCTTGATGATTGATGGAGTCAGGATTAGGACCCAGCTCCCAGACCTGGACCCAGGGCTATTTTGGACATCTTGTTCTGTTTCCTCCTCTGACAAAGAGGATGAAGATGAGCTGGGAAGGGAGGGGATAAAGTTGGCCTCTCTCTGATGACCGGAAGGTCAGTCCTTCTGGGATTTGGCCAGCACCTTGACCACCAGGTCACTGCCTTGCATGGAAGACAACCTTTCTTCTTAGCCCGTACCAGCACTGCAAGTGTTCCCTCTGGCTTCAAAACCGTCACACCCCAGAGTAACCTAAATGCCTAATCAATGGGATTTCTGGACCAGAGAACAGGTGGTCTCTCTTGGTTAATTAATTTGTGCCTTTACAATGTCTTTCTTATGAAAAGCTCTTTCTTTCCAACGACAGTGAAGTATTTATCCTGAAGAGTGTGATAGTTTTAGGGTTCTGTAAATCTGAAAAGTGAAATTCAGCTCAGTCTGTAGCATTCATTAAATGATCAAAGACATCCACAATTAAAAAAGGTTAAGTCTGTCTATCAGGGGAGAAGAGAAAGATGCACTTTTTAAAAGAAAAAACAAACAAACAAAAAACCCAAAGAACCCAGGAAAACTGGTATAATGGCCATAAGGTATAATAAACACCAATTTCATGAAAATTGAGAATGTAAATGAAAGAATTACAATGCTCAAGAAGCCCAGAAAGAAACAAGGATGAAGATATATTTCCCTTATCTTGTTCTTCATTCGTGTGTTTCAATTCTAAGAGTTTCAAATGGACTTCTGCAAGTCAGTGAGGAGTGAGGACTTCCGGTGCCCCCCTCCCCAGCACCGAGGGGCTCAGCTCACAGACTTCTGCAGTGGGGGCAGGGCGCGCATTGGGCCCCAGGACCGGTGGCGCCGCCTTGCTGCCTACACAGGCGCAGTGGTGGGAGCTGTGGGAAGGGCGAACAGGCCTTCCAGCAGTCTTTCCCCTGAGGGGATCCCTGCACTCTTCCTCCCACCTCCACACTGAAACAGGCCCTGATAGGCATGGAAAGCACTCCTGGTGCCCGAACACTGAAATGCAGCTCCCTCATCAGATGATGGTATGAAAACAAGGATCAACATCTGCGCCTGCAGAGATGCTGCCGGGGCTCTTGGAAACAAAGTGGCCACGGAGGAGGTGCGGAGGGGCTTCGGCCAAGGCAGCCACTGGACCCAAGAGGCAGCAGTTGCTGCAAACACTCCTACTGTCTCTCCCAGAAGTGGCGTGACACCTTCGACATGCACAAGAGCCAACGACAGCAGACACCAGCTCATCCTATGCTAAGGGAAGAACCAAATGGAATCATAATTATACCTTCCATTTCAATATTTGGGGAAGCTAGCTATTAACATGTTCTGTTCAGTTAAAACAATAGAAATGAGAAATGCCATATATCAAGTAGCAGGAAGTGTTCACAGAAACCTGGTATACCAGCTATAATATTGGACTTAAAATGACATTGAAAAAAAAATGTGGGAATACAAATCATGGATCTTAGAAATGTCCATTGCACTAGATCTGTGGACATGTGAGCCAGTAATATGTTTGCCCTGTGGCATCTGACTGTTGGTGTAACAGCATTCATTTGGTGTTGGAACTGTTTCTCTGTTTCAGGACCTGCCCATCAGTGAAAATCTTCCAAGAAGAGATTGGTGGTGTAACCCCGACTGGGTAGTAAATATTCCAGATAAGAATACTTTGGTAGATTTTTTTTTTAAAGATACTCTCCCTGGTGTTGACTCAAAACTATTTTAAAAAGATGATATGCTGAAACTCTCCAATATCAAAAGGCAGGAAATAATGATTTATATATTTTATTTTGACTTTACATGCGGTGTTAAAAACCCAAAGTACATATTATTTACACATCCACAATACAAGTTTACAAGGTATCTATACAGGTTAAAGTTCTCTATAAAACAGTATAGAGCCACTTCACGTTAGGGTTACTTTTTATGCCGTAACATTAAAAAAGATACAATCTGTGTTTACCTTTGCACAAATGGATAAAGCATTTAAAAATTAAATTAACAGGATAGAGACTAGATTTAGTGTTAGAAATTTCAACATAAATACCGAAAGAACTCACATTACAAACGACAAGGCAGCACAATGTTACAAAATGTTACCCGGGAATCACACAGTTACTGTTCCGTTTTCCGCACACCGGGATTAATATTGGTAAGGTGACGGTGGACTGAGTAATGTCTATCGTTGGTTGGTTTAATTTATTATTAATCTGTAATATTTTAGTTGCAAAACCGAAGTGTTTCAAGAACAGAAGTTTTAGCTTCCAGAGATCTCAGGGAATCATGTTCTTTATAAAACAATATTCTCAAAGGAAAAGATTAACTGTATCAGTATTCTACATTTTGTATAAAAATGCTCTGGTCTTCTGCCACCCATCCTCCCCCAAGTGATGTGTACCGTCAGCATTATCACAAGAAGTCAGTTGAGCTTATTTGTCTGACTAAGTCAGGAGCCTTCCCCTGCCTCGACACTGTCTAGGTTAGGGTTAATACATCATGGCGTGATGTGCAGCATCGTAACTGAAACAGTCATTGGGACTGCCCGTCAACAACTGTAAGTGGCTTCTGCAACGCTGCGAATAAATGACTGTGGTATCCACAGGTGTCACGTTACCCAGGAAACCTCATTTGACTTCACATTATCACTGTTTCATCCTTAGGAAAGCAGGAGCGGAATGTTTATCATGGCAAAGGACATAATGCTGCTATCTGAGTGGACTGTTTGACAATTAACTGTTCTAGGTTGCTCTTAGGATTTTTTTTTTTTTTCCGAAAGTCTTCAGGTGCTGGTTGAAAAACGTTTACAACTGGCACTCAGTAAATGATGTGCTATACTGAAAACACTGGACATATTTTAGTACTTCTATCATTCTCATGAATAAGGCACAAAATGCACAGATTCAGGTAAACTCACATGTAATATTTACATATATTGTCATTACCTGCATGACTTGGGAGAAAATTCTCACACAACACGACATAGACAACAGGATTGCACCACTGAGGTTTTCATGGACTGTGTCTGTTAAGCCAATTGCAATTCTTTTCACATTTCCTTCTTTTGTGTTTTACATTATTTTATTTTTAAATCTTGGGGGTAGGAGGAGTTCAAGGAAGAGAAATTTTACTACACGGGAAAAACCAAACACAATGAAAATAAAACCTTATCAGTGTGTCCAAGGATAAATAGAGTGACTCAGGCTCGGATTCACAGTGGACAGGTAAATTTTACTACTGAATACTGTTGGATAAATCAAGGATACCTCTTAACATCTCCGTCTCTTTAAGCTGGCAAGACTGTAATCGAAGTTTTAATGAATAGCAGCACAAAATGACTTCGAACTCTTTACATTCTGGCATTGGGTACCACATACGTCAATCATACTGATGGTCAAATCAGCCTTGATTTCTTTCTTTCTTTCTCAAAGCTGAACCCAATGGACTGCAGTGGGAAGTAGTTATCATCCCTGTTCAGTCATACTCAATGTAAACAACTCCGCAGCACAAAAAGATGCAATGGGCACCTAAACACATCCTGGTGGATACGGGACACACGCACACTCACACACACGCTCACACACTTGCACGCACGCAACACAGTTCATTGGTGGCATGAAAAAAATTGCCCCACATGAAAAAAAAATGCTACAGTTTGGGTCAAAGACTGATTTCTTAGCAAATTGTTTGGTAATCCACAAGTTTGTTTCTTTGAGACATTACCATTGTTTTTGACATTTGTGCAAGAGGCAAGGTGAATGCATACATATTAAAATGTTCACATTGAATGGGAAGACCACGCATAATGGCAGTCTAAGTTGAACCCATTTTCAAGTATTTACTCACAGATTCTTCTGCGTACTGTATCAGCTCTTTACCCCGGAAGGCAGCCCCTCAGAGCTACACCTCTGCTTAGCTTCAAACAAAAGAAATGGAATGTCCAGCACCTTCCTTTGTTTTGGGTGCGTACACAGAAGCCTTGTTGCAGTAGCTACATGTGCTAAGTTCTGATGTTGCCAAAGTGAGAGAGTTTCTTTGGCCACTTGGTTCTCTTAAAATACAAGTGAGTCTCTTATCTTAAGGTACCCTTACAACATCATCCTTGCAACAATGTGGACTGGATAAAGCCACATGGGAACAGCACACTTGCGGCCTAGTAAGTGTATTTGTTCAGTGGTCTGACAGAGGTTGTTTGAGGAGCAAATGAAGGCTTTGGTGGCACGTCAGGTTTTAAGGAGGGTGTCCTCTTTAGCCCCGTCCTAGGAAGGGTGCCATTACTGGTGTAGCTGCTCTGTCTGGAGAGGGCAGGCTGCAGGTGAACACTCACCGGTGCTCCCTGAATATAGTCCACCTTCGCCCCTGTCGACGTGGGCATGTACCCACCACGGTTCATGCTGGGCTGTCTAGATAACAAAACACCGTTTGGTGAGTTTAAGTTTTTAGGCAGAGCAGATATAGAGTGCCTCTGGGAGGAGTTTTTGTGGTAACCTCTCTGTCTTTCCAGAGAAGTCATTGGCACCCCGGGCGTGGTGGGGACATCCACTCGCTTGGTTGGGCTATTTCTGGGGAGAGTTGAAGGAGGAGAGTAGAGCGATGCCTCCCGATTGGGGACCTTGGGCGGGACCTCAGACATAGGTCCCACGGGATCCAGCATTAGGGTCTGGTGGGCCATTTGGATGTCTCCCATAATGGCTTTGGGGTTACTATTTGGGTCATTTAGATGCTTCAGGAGATCATTGAGGGTATTTCTGGAATCCACAGAATGCCGGTGATCTCTCTTACTGGATGACTTTGTAAGAGGGTGGTCAATGTGTTGAAGCTTTTTTTCAGCTTTGTGAGCATTGGAGTTTGAGAAGGATGTGTTGTAGTCATGGGTAGCGTTAGGAAGAACAATGGCACTGGGGATATGCCCGTGACTTAATGGAGAGTGGGGTGGAGGACTGGAAGGAAAAAACTGGGGGTTTTCTTTCCTTGAAGCTCCATGGCCATGGGCCTTGTCTGCGTGGCTCTTCATGGCCTGCAGGGTCTTCTGGTGCAGCACAGGTGTGGACTCAGGTGTGGGGAGCGCAGCCAGTTCAGGAGGTTGGCCTCGATGGTCCATGACCATGGATTTCGTGTCTCCAGTGGGCGGCAGCTCTTTCCGACTGGTCAGCAAGTTACTGTATAACTTGGGAGAATCAATATTCTGCTGATATTCCTTGACCGGGCTATCAAAGAGACCATTCAGTTTGGCGAAACTTCCACTAGAGTCTGTGCACGACTGGGCAGATTCTGCATCTTTACGGATCTTCCTGTTTTTCTGAACAAACATGTCACGGTAGCAGTAGACGGCCACCCCTGCAATGAATGCACCCAAAACAAAAGCGGCAAAGACACAGGTGATGAGGACATTCATGTGGACCATCTGGTTGGACTCTCCAGACTGGACTTCCCACCGCACACCTGCAACAGACACAGGGAGAGTCTGAGTGAGGTGCTCTCGAAAACCATCTCAGCCAGCCAATGGCTCCCACTGAGCCAACACTCCCTTCGCATGGTCTATGTGCTAAGCTTGGAGGCTCAAGAAGACTCTAACATTCCATAAAGACTTTTTTCTCTCATCAGAGTAGAATCCCCAGAGACATCTGATTCCTGCAAATGCCAGGATAATTCTAACCTCCCACTGAGCTGTATTCTCCGTCTCTTCCCCCCAACCACCCCGAAACAGTTGTTATATAACATTAGAAATTCCTAGAGTTTCTACCCAAAAATTAGTATTAGAAAGTGTATATTTTCTAAATGGCCTGTTTTAAACTCACACAATGTTTTATCTCATGGTTTTCTCCAAATTCATAAATCAGGATTAAAAGGCAGATGCTAGGATTAGGGAAATGTACGAATTGGCATAAATGTATATTATGCAAACGTAATTATGCTACCTTAACTGGAATAAAAACACGTAATTGTTTTCACAAACCAAAAGCACCGGCTTGCTCATCGTTAGCTACAAATACAGACTTCCACGTTTGCTTTTACAGTTTGTTTTTTCATTCCACCTTGGGAGGAAGCACCTTTGAACTGTCTGCTATGAAGGAAATCTAAACAGTCTAAGGAAATCTACTTTGTATTTGTTAAGTAATATGACTCAAATATCTTGAGATATTTAGAAATATTTATGTTAGACTAGAAGAAGAGTGAATTAGTTCTAATTATTGGGATTTTTAATGCAACCACAGACATCTAACAGTCAACCAAAGAAATGTTAGTTTCAGAGGTATCCAAGTCTGTTACATGCTATAAATACAGCTATCCCAGGATCAGGTAAGCCAGAGTCATTCTGAAGGTTTGATTCTGTAGGTTAGTACCAAGGCCTTGGAACGTTAGTCATTTTTAATCACTGTCCAGGGTTATGAGAGTCAGTGGCACTTTGAAAGAGAATAAAGGTAGAAATGGTACTACTAAAGGAAACAAAGCAGGAAGAAGGACTATAAAACTGTTTACAATGAAAACATATAAAACCAAAATCAACAGGTGTAAATCATAAATGACAATGCATTGTCATAGAAACTGATTGGAAACCTGATCCCATAGTTTAGTAAGCACTAAAGAGCAGATTTTTTTTTTCTTTTTTTCTCTGGAGTAATATATCTAATAAGCCGACACAGGCATCTGGGTTATAACGGTTTCCATTACGGCCTGTTATATTTCATTGCTTGTGGCATTCAAGCAGCTTAGCACCTCGTAGATCCTTTCCATACGGCGCTGTGAACTGTAGCTAATCAAAAGACTGGGAACAGCTCTTAGGCAAAATATCTGATATCTGGGTATTCGCAATTTAGGAGTTTTGTTTTTTGATGTGGCTGGGTGACCCTCGCAATTCTCTGATCTCCAGAAGTCTCCAGCTTCTTCAGACAGAAATCAACAGACTATTTTGTCGGAGACATGGCCCTTTCTCTAACAGTCTTACACCTTCACCTTTCAGGGAATGCACCCCAACTTATGCACAGAAGAGTGAAGTGACTGCGGCCCGTCGAGGTGGGGAACAGACAGCAGCTCCTTCCTGCTGCACCGCCACAGCCCTAAGTTCTTGGGCTCCCCAGAGATGTTAGGAATCAGGTTTCCACTCAATGAGAGATGATTTCCCTGGTGAGGCCTTACCCTTTGGGATACCTGATAAAGGATCAGTAAAATCAGAAGTGTTTGGGTCATCTTGAACTACAAATTTCCGGGAGCTCGTCAGTTTAGGTCTCCAGGTATCAATCACTTTGGGTGTGATTTGTGGGATGCTTGTTACTGTGGTAACAGAAGATGAAGATACCTCCATGTCTGTGGTGGCAAACAGATGTTTATTAATGTGGGCAGTGCCAGCAGATTTTTCTGACTGATCTGTTGCATTTCTATGTACAGTTGAAGTCAATTTTAGGAGAAAACCAGTTCTAGGATTTCATAAAAATGCATCGACAGAGACTAGACAAAATACTTTCCTTGCAAGGGAAAACTAAAAACTAAAATTAACAATAAAGCTATAGTAAGCAGATTTAAAAATTAAGCATACTCCAAATGCTCCAATGGAAGCCCCTGGGTGACGAATGACACTCATGAAAAAAGAAATGCAAATCCTAAAGATTCATTGGTACATTTTTCATCTCTTTGTGCGACAACATCATTTCATTTCTTTCTGTGTCTGTTTTTCAAGCACTTTCATAGACAGCTGGAGTCTGCCTATCCCTCACTGGGGAACCTAAGTGTAGCTTCATCAGAAAGCTCCTGGGTAAGTCCATGTAAACACTTGGTTTGGGACCTGACGAACCAGCTCTGCCTACGTTGTCCTGCTTTGCCATGGACCCCTACCCACTGCACTGAGGGCTCACTGTCCACGGGAAAGCACTGGAGCAGAGATGAGTCTCGCCCGTGCCTTCCAAAATGCCCAGGGCGTTCCTTCCAAAGAGTCAGTGGAAATTTATGTAAAAGAAACAGCATTTACAAGTGGAATTAGGATGTTCTGGTGCATGAGATTCGACATCCCCCGAAACTGCTAGTGACTTGGAGAAGCAGCCACAGGGCTGGGAGTGACGTCACATCCTAGCATGTCTATTACCGATTCCCACCAAATGGACTTTCCCTCAAAAATGTAAGCATATGATTTTAGTGTTAAACCTCCGGAGACCCCAATTCAGACTGGTGCAATGATCACAGATGAAGACTCCGAAACAGATACCGAGAGAGGGGTGTGGGGAGCCCAGTGAGCGCCTTAACACATCAGACACCAGCTTCATTCAACCAGGAGCCCCTTTTCATACCACGGAGACCACAACATTCAACGTTCCCTGGGATTACCGCAAACCATTCCAAAAAGATCTCTAAAATGTATAAATACACATTTTGAAGAAATGCGTATTTGTTTACTAGGTCTGAGGGGAGGCGAGGAGAGAAGGGGGGAATAATGACATTCTGCCATCCATTCAGTACGGATGGCCAGAGGGGACATTCACAATGCACAGGAGGGAAGAAAGCTCGGGGGCCGCGTGCAGCTGGAATGCAGTCTATGTGAACTCATTTGCGTTTCCTCGGAGGATGTGCCTTGGCCAATGATGGACTGTTAACATGCTCCACAGGGTGAAGTTCTGAGTAAGAAAAAGTCCTTTGGTACCATCAGTGGGGTTATGAGTTAAAGCACAAAAATGAAGGGCTGCCAAACTGCAAAAGGAGGGGACAGGGGGCTGAAAATGCTGAACTGAAGGAAAGAAAAGGTTGTTAATTCAAAAAAATTAAAAAAACTAACCAGATGTTGGACCGCCAAATATTTTGTAATCTGGTGTAGTTGAAGTAGGCAAAATTTCTAAAAGAATTAAAGGAACAAGTAATCAGTAAAAAAGTAACCGAAAGAAAGCAAAAATGTATGAATTCGAATCAACTGAAAAAGTCAAAAGAAAAGACTATAAATGAAAAGATTTACCTACTGGTTAGACTACCTTTCTCTAGATTTCCTACGCAATTGTAAATGGTGAAGAAAAAAAAAAGTAAGATTCTCTAAGGGAAAAAAAATATATATAGATTCTTCTCTAACGTATCCCCACGACCAAACAGCTCAGCTTTTGAGAAGTTTAAGTTAAATGCTAGGGGGTAGGTGTCCTGAGTCATTAAAAGGCTGGTTGTAAAACAATGTTCACGTGCAAGTGTGGTCAAAAAGAAAGGCCGGGAGGGCGGGGCGGTGGGTCTTACCGTGGCAGTCCCCTAGGTGCGCCGCGTTGCCGTATTCCGTGTCTTGTTCGTACCCTCCAGTGCTGTGGTTATGGAAAGCAAAGAAGTCTTCAGTTAACAGCCTTCATAGAAACACAGTGACAACCAGAGCAGAACCAAAAACACAACTCGATTAGTAGTCAGCATGGGCAGAGAGGGGAAAAATGGACATTTCAACATAGCTTGCTTGTTAACTGGAGGGTTTCTGTTCAACGTTTGGTAACTGGAATGTTGAAGAGAGAAGAGAATTGTCTATTCCCTTAGGTTTATACTTTCTATCACCTTCCTTCCCTCTCACAGCTCCAGATTTTCCTTTTCTTTTTGTTTTTTTAATACTTCTCCCATGACAAAAAAAAGGGGGGGGTGTAATAATAGTGTTATTGGAAGTTTTCTAAAATGTCAAGCTTTCCAGAGCCTGGTGACGACAGACGCAGATGTGGAGATCTTGGTTCATGTGACAAAGGTACTTACAGCATCCCCGGGGTGACTCTGCCACAGCCCCCCTGGCTCAACCAGCCGCAGTACGGGTCTCGCGATGCAATGCAAGACCTGCACATAACCAAACCGAAAGTGACTTGGATTTTCTTGTCGTCAAAGGTCTTAGTGCTGCAAGACCCAGGGTAAGAACGGAAATATCAGCTTACTTTTTACATGATCCATAACGCTCGCAGCGGCTGAGGGGCATGCGGATAACACAGCTAGAGAACGCCACATATAAAGTGTGACGGTCTTTATCCAACTGTAATGAGATGACCTTTTTGTCTTCCTCATTCTCAGGATTGCACCTATATCATGGGATACATTTTGAAGCCATATGTTTAGTTAAGTCAAAAGCTGTCTGAACTATCCAAGGCAAGTGGGGTTTGGGGTTTGCGATTACTGAGAGCTGGGGAGGTCCTAAGGAATATTCTCGGTAGCAAGCTGGGCAAGTACATAGTTTGGGAAATAATGATTATGCGATTCATCTTCTACTGCTCTGCACGGTTGGTTAAATTTCAGGCTGGATAAAGGTTTTTTTTTTTTTTTTTTTTTTTAAGATTGCTTCCTGTTCTGATGATTGAAGGGAATTATAATTATGAAGACTATGTTGGACTATAGCGGGGGAAAAGGATAATGTTTTAATGCATTTAAATCTTCCTGTGCTAGATGTTTCTCCTCGGTCTCTTTTGCTCCATGTCTCTCATGTATTTCTTGTCTGTCTTAATGGTCTGTAAAATCTTTTATATCAGTGGTTGAAAGAACTGTATTCTGTGTGTGTGTGTGTGTGTGTGTGTGTGTGCCTGCAACTGTCTGCTGCGTGTCTGCTGCGTGCGCATCCCGGCGGAGTTTGCCTACCAGGTAGGAGGGGTGGTGCTAAAGTGCTCTCATCTTCCACAGGTGAAATTCAAGGGCTGAATTATTTTTAAACTCATCAAATGCCCATCTCTAAGCCCCAGTGGACTCAGGAAGTAAACAAGGCCAGGATTTATTTCAGCGAGGAAAAAAAACACACACACACAACAGAACCCAAACCACTAATATGCCAAACCACTGCTAATTTAGAGGGCTGAAAGGAAATGACTAGATGAAATAAACTCCGGAAAATTTTGAGCAGGGCTGAAGAGTATTCTCGTAAAATACACCTACTTTGCATGGTTGTACGCGTCAATCTCTTCCAGTAACACGCTGTCATTCAGAGAGAAAGAACTGGTCTTTGCCAGAACTTTAAGTACCATGCCAGCTTCTGAGCCAACGAAGATGACAGTGTAGTTCTGGTAGGGCCCGGCAGAGTGGTCCACAGCCACAGCCGTCAGTCTGTACCTGCGGGCGAGGCAGCCAGGTCGGAGGGGGCGACCAATGGGAAGAGGCGTCCGAATGGGAGTGGGCGGAGCCGTCTTACCTGATCCGGGTCTTCGTGAACCAGGGCTCCTCTGCAATGGGTGGGACGGCGGAGTCCATCAGGGGGTGGGATTTGATGAACGACAGGGTTTCATCCGGGAAATCAATGGAGGTTTTATAAGCTTCCGCAAGGCCATGCTTTGCACAACAGCCAGGCCTGAAAGGAAAACAGTGTGTTTTTTTCTGCACCGTAAGTTGTATCTAAGGAATAAGTGTTCCTTCTGAAAGAAGAGATCGAGAGAGAAAGGAGAGTGAGCGAAACCCAAGGAGCAGGGCTGGCTCCGGAGCCCAGCGGGTCTCCTCCGTCCTGCTGCACGGCGACCCCCGCCCAGCCTGGGGGGTTGGCCCGCCGCTCTCCGGGGGTGCATGCTTCCAGTGGCCAGATGGTTTTGTTAAAGCCAAAATCCCTTTTTGTCATATCTCTTTACCTTGGCTTTGGTACTTTGTCTTCGGGGACTGCTGTCCAAACAGAATCTGGAGTTTTCTGTTCTTTAAACCGTCCTTTGAATACTTTCTCAATGTCATCCATGCTAAACGCACAGACTGCAGAACCAGGAATGCTGCAAAGGGGGAAAACCGTCAGAAAACCATCAGGTGGGCCCGTTGGTGGGTCCCACCAGCAAGGACAGAAGATCTTTGAGGTGCCAAGGATCTGTTCTCACCTGTTGAGCTGTGTGGTGAACACCCCGACCACCGTGGGGATGCCATTGATTTGTATGATGTTTGTAATAGACTGCAGAACATCAAAGTAGAAAAACGAGTCCCCGGGGACAGAGCAGTTAAGCCGAGCCTTCAGAAATGAAGTCCAGTGTTTCTCCAGGACCCGCTGGGAGCCACCCATGTCGTTTTTACATATGCGGGCCACACGGGAATAGACAGCCTGCCCAGGGACGAAGCAGAGCACGGGGTTATGAGCACGGGGAGGGAATGAAAACCAAAAGCTGCTGTTTATGGGAGGGACAAGAAATGCTGAAGAAACATCTGGTTCAAAAGAATCTAGCAGTCTTCTCTCTAAGGATCGGTAGTCTAAGAATGCAAACTAGATTTACCTGTGAGAGAAAAGGGTCACTTTTTTCCAAAAACCTTCCTAAGAAGTGAGCTACTGAGCTGCCTGGCTGAGCGGAAACTGTTCCTGTGCTCCGTCTCTCACTTGGCTTCTCACATTGCGAATGAGATGTGCCTTAAACCTGTCCAGAAGGGTTGGCAACACTTCAAACTCACATGGGCTTTTACCAAAGCCCCCAAAGTTGAACAAGGGCCTCTACTTCCCATCCTGCCTCTGACAGAGAGAAACAATAAACCGGCCCCGGATTGCTAAAGCCTTAAAGAAGCAATCGGAGCTCCAGGTGCCTCTAGAGCACCCTCTGCAGAGACAGGAAGCAGAAAGCTTCTCAAGGCCCAAGGCTGCTGTTCTCATCCAAGCCGCTGTTCAGGTGTTTGCAGCAATTACTCTCACGATAACTCCTCACCTCTCTGCACCTGGCCCGCACCGCAGTGAATGCGGAGAAACACGCAAGGACCTGCGCTCAATTCCACGCAGGACAAGCCCACAGTAGAAGTCGGGCGTGTATACTTACCTTGCCTAAGTTGTTATGTTCCACAGCAATTTCTCGAAAGAAGAAATAGACGTAGTTTCCATATTCTATGGCGTGAAGAAAGTGCGGCTCTGAAAGAAAAATTATGAACAAACTGGTTCTGAAAAGGTAATTCAGTGAGTATACAACCTGGACTGCGGGGCATGACTGACAGATGTCACCGAGCTCCATTCAAGCCAGGGAGAACTGGGCACGCCCCTGAGTTGCGGAGGCCCGGCTGGGCGAGCTGGAGCTCCGGGGACGCCGAGCCTTTAATGTCAGCTAATGGACTGTAAAAAGCCTACCGGGAACTGAACTGCGGCAAAGGTCTCTGTTTCAACAGATTTATTCATTAACCTATTTAACTAGGGAAGAAAACCTCTTATGTTGAGAATTAAAAAAAAAAAAAATCTTGATTTCTAGACTCTGAAGAATAGATGACTCTGCAGACATGACCTAACGGACTCTCCCTGTTAATGCTCCAGGATAAGTAGATGCGAGCGGGCAAGGGGATCGTGTGCATTGAGGATTCGGCAAATTGGCACATCGAAATGAGATTTTTTTTTTTTAATCCTCACCCGAGGACATTTTTTTTTTTTTTTTTTTTTTGATATTTTGTTCAGATAGAGTGGGAGGGAGAGAGAAAGACAGAAACATGGACGTGAAAGAAAGGGACACATCGAGTGGTTGCCACCCACATGATCCAACCAGGGCCGGGGACAAACTGCAACCAGAGTATGTGCCCTTAGCGGAACCGAACCCGGGTCTCTTCAGACTGCAGGCCGACGCTCTAACCGCTGAGCCAAACCGGCCAGGGCGAGATTTTTTTTTTAAAGTCACCTAAGATAAAGATCTACTTTCTTGCCTGGGCTATGGGTCTCTTCATTCCTTGTCGATGCCCCTGTTCACAACCAAAACAGCTTATAATTGCTCTAAATAAATAATATAAAGCCTTGCACGCAATCTCCTGATGCCCAGGGTGCCTGTTCCCACTCGGCCTTCCCACTGCCCTCGGCGACCCCACAACGTGCTCTTCAGAGATACCTTTTATCCATTTGGAATCATATTTGATTGTACGAAGGGCAGATCCATCGCCCATGCTTCGATAAATAACAGCATCACTGGCCAAGAAGTCAGCCACTGTGGCAGAATACAGCTTCCCATCTGAAACCAAGTTATAATTTGAGGAAAATAACCATAATTATCCTGTAGTGTGTTGCCCTATGTAGTGTAGTACATAGTCTTGGGAGTGCTTTCCCCCATTATCCCTACATATAGAAATAAGGCTAAACCTGATGCTCGTAATCAACCTGTCACAGGTTGGCCCATAATATCACCTAATTTTACAGATGAGGAATCTAAGCAACAAAAAGTTAAGCAACTTATTCCGGGCCACTGGCTTAATTAACAACAGAACCAAGTGTCAGAAAACTATGTTATACTATGCTCACTTTTAATTCTTTCTTGATTAATTTTTCATAGTTTTTAAACTCTGGAACCCCTATTTTGAGGTAGCTATTCCATTTATGAGCTATTTGTCTTCCTTGAAATTCCTTTTGGGCCTTCAACGTCATCACTCGTTTATATTCATTACACTAAAGAATCTTACCAGCAAAAAGGGCAACGTTGGTTTGTTTGGCATCGAATGGGCATCTTGCCAGGCCACTAATTTCTTCCCCATCATACTCTAAGGTATTCAACTGCAAAGGAAAAATAAATAGCTGGTGTCACAGCTGTTCAATGTACCTGTTTGAAGGCAATACCGCTTTATTTGTACTGAAATTCTATTTGAAAAAGTCTGTCTTTATTCTTGCATAGCATTAGAGCTAAAGCACATTACTAGGTAATAGCAGAGAGAATTCAACTCACTGCATACTAGCGAAGGAAGAAACACTGGTAACAACAAGCACGTCATATGAAAGATGCTCACCCGATAGTATCTGCACATGGGATTAAATGCATTGGTCCCACACACAAACACCATCTCATCATTCCGTGGAACAAATACTTTGATAAAGTTGTGGCATTCGTCCTAAAGCAAGTAATAATTACATTAACATTAGACATTTCATTGGCTGACAAGGTGGGTTCCAGACCACAGAAAGACCCACAGTAGCAGACATGTGTCCGTTTTACTTACTTTATGTTTGCCTTTCATCGCGCAGTTTTCGCGATCCTGTTGTCTTGACCGCCACGTCAGTTTCTGCGTTAAACAAGCAAAACCAAACTTTAGTTTTCCACCGCGGACGTTCTGGGAGGGGAGGGGGCATTAGCCAAGTTCTGAGGGAATGCAGGTAACTTTGCCAATGACACGAGCTTACCTTGCTCGGTATTACTTCTGTTTTGGGGATTTCATTTAAGTTTACTGTATAAACTTGATCCCTGTAGGAAACAAGGCAGTAAGTCATGGCCAGCGAATACATGAAAATGTTAAGCTGCTTCTTATTTTATTTTTACAGATCTGCCTTTGTTGTGTTTTGGAGATCATTTGGATTTTCTCTGTCTCCAACAAAGTCAACAGAGGGTACTTTTTCATTAGTGAGAAGCTTTTATATATCACTGCGGTCAGGGAGCAGAGAAAGCTCTTTCTTCAGCCGTGGATCAAACTGCTTCTTGCATTAGCATAGACATACTTCTAATATTTGCTTGAATAATTCCAAGTTTAAAAAGAGTAAAGGAAGATCCCCCCCCCCACCCCCGGCTGCTTTAGGAATAAAGGACGATGTATGATTTCTTGATGGCAGTAATAAAACAGCCCAGCTGAAGGTTTTTGCTCTGTATTTTCTTCCTGGTACACAACACTGACTCTTCTCCGTGAATATTTTTGGCTACTTGCAATTTTTGATCACAATCACATATTAGTTTTTCATGAACTAGACACATTAATGCAAGCGCCACAAGAGAGAAGAATTTTAATCTAATAAACCAACGAGAGGAAAATTACCTGCCAGCAATATAAAGTGTGTCTCGAATTTTCAACATCAGCTGAAAGTCCAGCCGGTGCTGCGATTCATTGCCTGAAGGGCGTCCTCTAAAAACCGGATATTGCCTTGAATCTGCAAGTAAAAATGGGCTAAACCATCAGTCAGGATTATAGAGCTAAAGAATCAATATCCTGCATTGATTAGCTGTATATACTAGTTGTAGAGGGGTTTTAACTAAATTCCTATCTTCAGGTCTTGAATATAAATGAATAAAAGACAGTAAATGTCAGCAAACGGTCTTTTTCTTTTCACTGGAAATATATAACCTATATAACGGGCTGTTTTAGAAAAGCACCCAACAAAACTGTCCCATTGTCTCCAAACACAGTTATGGATACATTAATATGCAAAACATGTTTAAGGCATATAAAACTCTCATTCTAAAAATGAATACGCTTAGAAAAACCACCACCAAGATAGCTTCCTTCTTAGAAAAGGGGCGCGTCCTTTAGATGACTTACAGTGATAGTCAACAATGTTAAGGGGTTCATCATCTTCGGGGAAGCTGACTGCCCTCAGAGGGGAAACCATCGCGAGCAGCATGTAGGCACAGGGCAGGAAGAACCTCATGGTGGGCCGCGGTCGGTCAGGGCAGCCCCTCCTCAGAAATCCCACTTGGCTGCCTGGAAGACAGAAGCAGTTGGGAAGGACCTCCGTGCTGTGGTGAACCTGTTTCTCACTTGTAATCAGCTCAGTTTTCACCACCAGCTCTCTCCAACACCCTCCTCCCCTCGGGAGCCCTGGCCTGGGTGAAGGAGGTGCCACAGGCAAAACATGGCCGTGTGCCAGGCCTGATGACAGCATCTGGTGAGCATATGGAAGGTTTAGGCACATGTGCAAGAGTTTTTGAGGTAACCATGTATGTCATCACGGCAAAATCCCCAGAACCACAAACAGAAATGCTGGCTGCTGACTTGGCAAGAAGATGGGCAATGTTGGGATTAGAATTTTAATTAAACCCCAATCTGTTCCCTGCCCCCAGCCCTGAAATACATCCAGTCCAGCTTGCCTCTGCCCCTCGTAAATGCCCAGGCTGCCTTGCAAATATCCTGCCTCCCCTCATCTGAGCTTTGCTTAAGGCATTGCCAAATTCCCAGCGCTGCTCAAGCCTTAGCCCGAGATTCTTAAGTAGATCAGTTCCCTAAGCTTAGTAACACCAACATGGAAGCAATGCCATGAACGACCTTGAATCAGGGTGGCAGAGAATTAAAAGAAATGAAATGATTTCACGATCAATCAATCAAGCAAAGCAGGGCAGGGATGAAACGCACAGCTGCCACCAGACCACGAGGGATTTCTACACTTTACATAAAACCATCTGGACACAAACCAATACCCTAAGTACGCCTGTCCTCTTAGCTTTAGTAAACTTTAGAGTCATAGGGGGCCTTTGGGACCATCTAGTCCAACCTCCTTATTTTTCAGATGAGAAAACTAAGGTCTGGAAAAATTCAGGGACTCAGTGAATTTCATGGAGCTATTTAGAAAAAGAGTCCAGTCCAGACCACATCACCTGGGTCCCCATCCAGTCTCTTTTTATCAAATTAGATGATGGGTTTTTATCTTCAAAAGTATAGCATCACAACATATCTTCTTGGGATAATAAATACGTCCATTATTTTTACTGAAGTGGTGTTTCACGGGTGTATGCACATGTTAAATTTTATCAAAATGTACATTTACACATGTGTAGTATATTGTATATTAATATCTTAACCAAGATTACATCATTAATTGTATAATATTAATTGTCAAATTGAAAAAAAATCTTTAAGTGACATCCACTTATTAAAAAAATAAATCAGGGCCCTGCTGGGCCAAGGGGATGGGTATTTTTGTGAAACTGTAAATGCTCCCCTTTGCCATCTACCACCCTGTCCTGCACCCACACTGTCACAACCACTGCACCGAACAGTAAGAACATTGACACTTATCTTCACGTTCCTTTATCTAAGAACTTTAGGGGAGAGGATGAGGGTCACTTCAGATTCTGGGGAGTGCAAGCACCCAGCCAGGTACTTACTATGCCTCTTTTACTTTCTTTCTTTTTTTTTTTTTTTTTATCCTCACCCGAGGACATTTTTCCATTTTTTGTTCAGGTAGAGTGGGAGGGAGAGAGAGGAACAGAGAGAGAGAGAGAAACATCAATGTGAAAGGGACACATCGAGTGGCTGCCACCCGCACAACCGACCAGGGCTGGGGACAAACTGCAACCGAGGTACACGCCCTTAGCGGGAACCGAACCCGGGTCTCTGTGGACCGCAGACCGACGCTCTAACCGCTGAGCCAAACCGGCCAGGGCCCTCTTTTACTTTCTTAATGTCAAACCACAGAGGCACATGTATGCAATGCAATGTTTTCAGTATTTCTCTTTCTCACTAAAGTCAAAGCCAAGTCTATGTGAGTTGTAGAACCCTAGTTCTACAAAAAAAGGGAACACTATTGCAGTACAATGTTTCTTAATGGATAATTAATTGCACAGTAAATGAGTGGGGTCTGGGGCAGCAGCATTTTGGACGGGGTTGAAAGACTGCAGACTTTGCTGGAGGTCTGACTCGGAGGGAACTCGATCGCTTACTACCTGATTGACCCAGCAAAGCTTCTTCAATCTCTATGAGCAGGAGTTTATCTCCAACATGTGGATAACACCACCTCCTACACAGGATAAAAAAAGAACTAAACACCTGGCATAAATAGATTCTGAAGCAGTCAGTACTCCTCACCTATTGTTTACTGGACACCATGCATATTAGGACCAAATTGACCTAAGAGTCTGAGAAGGGTCTGGGGAAAAGATGTAAAATATTAAAGCTACTTGGTCAATCCCACCCCCCCACCCCCCCAACACACACTCAAATGAATAGTTACTTTCAAATACTAAAAGATTATGTTTAGAATACATTTTACAACTCAAGTCCTCACAACCCTGGAAAGGCAAGCAAAAAAACAAAACCCAAGAAGCCCAGCACCCTAACCCAGCAACTGTGCATATGTGGTTCTGGTCTTCTTGCCACAGGCTCTTAATTTCCAATCATGGCAAGATGACCTCTTCCAACCTACCACTTCCCCCGAAGGAGCAGCTTCCTGCCTTTCTCTCCCCCAGTGTCTTGCCATTCATAAAGACCCCAGAAAGTTGAAGCAGTGGTAAAATACAAAAATGTTGCCTAAGAACCAACTTCTGTTATGACATCAATCCCAAACCTCACTCTCTGGAAGTGAAGTCACGGGATGCTCTGCAGGGTATCAGCGTGAAAATTAAGAATGACCAATCAATCCTGAGGAAACTCAGACATAACTGCCTGAAAACAAGAAGACAGTTCTGTGACTCTCACTCCACCACGACAGGTATCTGAACGGTGCAGGTCCCGGGGACAGAGCCTCCGTGCCCCAGACACCAGGGCAGGGAGGGGCCTGACCGGGAAGAGTGTCTGTCACAGCTTGAGTCCAGCACGGGGACTGAGGATGGTGTCACTGCTGACTCACTGGCAAGTATGAAGCTGCAGGCTGAGTGATCATTTCCTATAACTCCTTCATCTGACACTGCAGAAAGCGATTTCTCCTCAGACCCCGCCCCCTGCCAATCTCATCCTCCAAAAATAAAGCCCTGCCACTAATTGCTTCCTGTCCCTGCAGAAAGCCTTATTTTTAAAAAGAATTACTTTTAGATTTCCCATAAAAATTATAAGTGAAAGTATTTAATGTAAAATATATATAAAGTAAGGCTGAGTAGGGGAGGGAAGGATCTGGAAATATCTGAGAGAAACGTACCAGGAAGGAGATTTATTTGCATGTAAACCCCCTCAGACTAGCTCTTACCTTATTTAAGGAAGTATCTCTGAATTCTAGGATTTAGTAAAACCATGAAACATGGTTATGTTGGAAGAGGGCCAATTAAGAGGCAGGACAAAATGTTGGACAAGAACATAGACCCTGGGGTTAGAAGAATCTAAGTTCACACTTTCTTGTGCCATTTACTTCCTGGCACTGGGACTTAAATACACTTAACCTCAAGTGTAAAATAAAAATAATTACATTTTCTACATCATGGGCTCTTCTATGGATTAAATGAAATAATCTATACAAAACATCTAATATAGAACCTGGTCCACAGTAAATCTCTAGTAAAAATTTAAGAATATTATCATGACTATTATTGTTATATCTTGCTGGGCAAAAATGTAAAAAAAAAAAAGATGTGTGTGGGGGGAATGTTTACTTGTATAACTATTTGCAAAACTATTTATGTATGCCATCGTAACAATGTTAGGGGTGTTCTAGGAGGATCGAGGTACAGCTTCATAGACACAGATACCTCCAAGGGAGAGGAGGGAACCACCTTCCTTAAGTGTAAAATTAAAGAACACAACTATATTATGATATTCCTTTCAGTCAGAGAACAAGGATACCTCAGTATTATATGAGCTTCTCCAATATATTACTGATGTTAAAACCAAATTATAATGAGAAAAGCTCTTGAAGGGAGTTCAGAGATACGAAGACAGCCAGGTTGGACGGGCAGGATCCTTGGGGAAAGGGCAGGAAAAGGAAATGAGCCCCACAGTCAGCACTTGAGTTCACATTACGGGGTTTGTTAGTTCTTAAACTATAAAAAGATGAAAGGGTAGTTAAAAGCTTGGCAGTCTCCAGTGTAGGACCCACCAAGAAGGAGGAGTTCTCGTACATGTCTACAGGCTCTCATTTGGGCGTCCGAGGACCTACACCCCAAGGAGAGCAGGCACATGTGACAGGCCAAACCTTACAAAACTCCAGCTTGATCTCTGATAAGCTAAGTGCTAGGTTGGATAGATACTATCTCCTCCTACTCTGGCTACTTGCAGAAAAGATAAGATGAATCTTCTCTAGAGAAAGATAACATCATCCAGAGACTACAATTTTTTATAAAAATTTTTTAAAAATAAAATGCTTAACATATGAGCAGCAATTATTAGACACTCCAAGAACTAAGACTAAGAAAGAAAGAAAGAAAGAAAGAAAGAAAGAAAGAAAGAAAGAAAGAAAGAAAGAAAGAAAGAAAAAAAGACAATAGAAATAGGTCCATAGGTAACCCAGCTATTAGAGTTATTCAACATAGATTTTAAAAATAACTGTGTTTATTTTGTCTAAGAGAAAAGATGATAAGATGGAGAATTTACCAGAGAAATGGAATCTATTTAAAAAGAATTAGGTGAAAATTATACAACTGAAAAGCACAATACCTAAAGCTTCTTAATAGATGATTTTTTAGCAACATATTTCTTGTAGCTGAAGAGAGGTCTAAGGTCTATGTTTCAACTGGAAGATGGGTTAGTAGAAAATATCAGACAGAAACTCAGAGAGAAAAAAAAACAGATGAGAGAATAAGGGACAGATAGGATCTTGTGAAAAAAGCCAACATACTGGAATCCCTGAGAGAGAGAGAGAGAGAGAGAGAGAGAGAGAGAGAGAGAGAGAGAAGCAATATTGACAAGATAATGGCCGCATTCTTTTTCAAAACAAACAAAACACTATTAAGTCACACGTTCAAGAAACTCTAAAAACTTTTAAATATAAAGAAAAACACATTTAAACACACCATAGTCAAGATGCCAAACACAATGACAAAAAGACTGTTGAAAGTTGAAAC